TGCTCAGTTGTGTAAAACTTTTTGCAAGCCCAAGGACTATAGCCCACCAGGCTCCTCTGTCCATGGAGTTTTCCAGCCAGGAATACTGGAATGGGTTGCTATTTCCTCCTCCAGGGGATCTTCCCTATGCAAGGATCAAACCCGTGTCTCTTGTGTCTCCTGCACTGGCAGGTGGGTTCTTTTCCACTGAGCCATCTTGGAAGCCCCATATACCCGTGTGTGTATGTATACAAAAGGGAGAAGACCACAGGCATATACATGTATACACAGTTGGTTCTCATCTCTCATGCCCACCACGCCAGGTCCAAGTACTGGAGACCAATGTGCAATGGATTTTTTCCTCCTCAGCTTCCACCTTCATTTGGGGAAACACCACACCCTCCTCTTTGTGCTCTTTAGATAGTCACCCTCTCATACTCATTGCCTTTTCTCTCTTGCCCTTCTTCCTCTTCACAATTGTAGCCCCAAATCTGCAGAAAAGGCTCCCATCTTTTTCCTTGCTTCCCACCTCCCGCCCCCACTCCACCCCATCCTCATTTTTTTCATTCTCCTTGTTCATCTGAAATGATCTTAGTCATGGCTGGAAGGCATGAGAGCTGGGCCAGGGATCTATCTGTGCTGGAGAAAGCGGAAAGGCAAAAATTTTGGAATGAGGTTATCATGTTAGAGAGCTGGTGTCAGGAAACCACAACAATCTAGGAAATCATGAAGTCATCTCCAGAATCAGTGATAGTGCAATCTTGTCACCTTCCTCTAAAGAAAGCTGCCTTCACCCACCTTTCTGCCCCAACAGTTTCTTATTACAGAGGCTTTATGTGGGTTGGTTTAGCTTGTTTCTCCCTTTGCCTCAGTGTTGTCTTCTGCTGCAAATACACAGCAGTTCAGCTGCATTAGGAAACTTCTGCAGGGTTGACCCAGAAACCCAACAATATAACTTTGTTCTGTGGGAAACCATGTCCTGATCTCAATGTGCTAGTTGATAAATGATCTGGTGAGAACATTTGGCTCCATGTGTGTGCATACTGCTGGGCACATAGATGCTCCATAGCAAAAAAAAAAAAAAAGAATTATTTCATTGAGTTGACAAATTGAGGACGGATGCGAATAGTGTATCACTGAAGCCGTCTATTCCTGAGACATGATTTCATAAGAAGAAGTCATGTCACTGCTGTGATTTCCCAGGAAAACTTTTGCATGTCATTTTCTTTGCTTTTTTCTTATTTTCCCAGCCTTCCTCTGCCTAAGTGCAACCTACCAGGCCTCTGAGGCGTTTCCCATGAAGCCTGCTCTGTGGTGAGCACCATTAAAACAGGTGTCAGTGGTAGGAGCTGATATTTCTGCCTTCTTGCCTTGTGCCAGCAGTGTGCTGGTTGCTCAAAAGGCCTCATCTCACTTAACTCTCAGGGCTTCCCCACAAGGTGAGCGCTATCGTTGTCCTCATAGTATTTGGCAAGAAACTGAGGCTCAGTTGTATCTGACTCTTTGTGATCCCATAGACTATAGCCCACCAGGCTTCTCTGTCCATGGAATTATCCAGGAAAGAATACTGGAGTGGGTTGCCATTTCCTCCTCCAAGGTATCTTCCAGAGCCAGGGATCGAACCTGCATCTCTTGCATCTTCTGCACTAGCAGGTGGATTCTTTACTACTGTGACATCTGGGAAGCCCCTAGAAAGTGGCAGGAATATCCAAGATCAAGTACACAAGCCATCTGCCCCTTGAGCTCCAGAGCAAGCTGTCTGCTCCCATCTTCCCTGCCTGGTTTCCTGAGATACAAGAGAGATGATTTTACCACATGACCCTTGACCATATCGCCTTTCTTTTCCAGCACAAGTGTGTTTGGCTTTTTATGCTCTCTTAGACTGCACACGCCTTGTGGTTAGGGTTCAGAATGAGAGTCTTGGGCCAGATTCTGCAATTGCCTACCTGCAGGGCCTCCCAGAGCCCCAGTTCCCAGTGGCACCATCTCCTAGGACAATGGTGAGGATTGAAAGAAAATAACGCACTTGAAGGGCGCAGCCTGGGACTCCCCGCAGTGACAGCACAATGACTTTGGAGACCATTGGTGTGATGGTAAAGAGCACAGCCAGAAATCAGTAATGTGACTGAACAGTTTTCTTTCTTCTTTTTTAAAATATTTGTTTATTTGGCTGCATCAGGTCTTAGTTGTGACTCCCCAGATCTTTGCTGCAGCACATGGACTCTCTAGTCGTGGCATGCAGGCTCCGTAGTGATAGCTTACAGTGAATGATGTCAGATTTGTGATCTCCAAAGATTTTGCTTCACGACTAGGGACCAGACTTCAGATACTCAGAACTTCACGTGGCAGAAATTCTATTACAGCGAAAAAGGACAGAGAAAACCTCTGACATAGACATCAGAAGGGGGACAGAGACTGCTCCACTCACTAGTCTTATCAAGTCCTTATATACTTTACCAGATTCACTGCCAGAACATACATCTTAAATTAACAAGATTAGAACTAGCAATAGAAAGGTCTTACCAGAACCACTCCCACAATATAGATCTTAATATAACAAGATTAGTCAGAAGGTTCTTGTTAAGAAGGAGAAACATGTCCTTAAGCAAGATACATTAACATTACATTGTTGTTATATAATCATTAAGTTCAGTTCAGTTCATTTGCTCTTTGCCACTCCATGGACTGCAGCATGCCAGGCTTCCCTGTCCATCACCAAATCATGGAGCTTGCTCAAACTCATGTCCATCGAGTCAGTGATGCCGTCCTACCATCTCATCCTCTGTTGTCCCGTTCTCCTCCTGCCTTCAATCTTTCCCAGGATCAGGGTCTTTTCCAATGTGTCAGCTCTTCGCATCAGGTGGCCAAAGTATTGGAGTTTCAGCTTCAGCATCAGTCCTTCCAATAAACACCCAGGACTGATCTCCTTTAGGATAGACTGGTTGGATCTCCTTGTAGTCCAAGGGACTCTCAAGAGTCTTCTCCAACACCACAGTTCAAAAGCATCAATTCTTTGGCACTCAACTTTCTTTATAGTCCAACTCTCACATCCGTACATGACTACTGAGAAAATCATAGCTTTGACTAGATGGACCTTTGTTGGCAAAGTAATGTCTCTGCTTTTTAATGTGCTGTCTAGGTTGGTCATAGCCTTTCTTCCAAGGAGCAAGCGTCTTTCAATTTCATGGTTGCAGTCACCACCTACAGTGATTTTGGAGCCAAAAAAAATAAAGTCTGTCACTGTTTCTACTGTTTCCCCATCTATTTCCCATGAAGTGATGGGACCAGATGCCATGATCTTAGTTTTCTGAATGTTGAGCTTTAAGCCAACTTTTTCACTTTCCTCTTTCACCTTCATCAAGAGGCTCTTTAGTTCTTCTTCACTTTCTGCCATAAGGGTGATGTCATCTGCATATCTGAGGTTATTGATATTTCTCCCAGCAATCTTGATTCCAGCTTGCGTTCATCCAGCCCGGCATTTTGCATGATATGCTCTGCATATAAGTTAAATAAGCAGGGTGACAATATACAGCCTTGACGCATTCCTTTCCCAATTTGGAACCAGTCCATTTTTCCATGTCCAGTTCTAACTGTTGCTTCTTGACCTGCATACAGATTTCTCAGGAGGCAGGTAAGTGCTCTGGTAGTCCCATCTCTTGAATTTTACACAGTTTGTTGTGATCTACACAAAAGCTTTGGCGTAGTCAATCAAGCAGATGTTTTTCTGGAACTCTCTTTGCTTTTCCTATGATCCAACAGATGTTGGCAATTTGATCTCTGGTTCCTCGGCCTTTTCTAAATCCAGCTTGAACATATGAAAGTTCTTGGTTCACATACTGTTGAAGCCTGGCTTGGAGAATTTTGAGCATTACTTTGCTAGTGTGTGAGATGAGTGCAATTATGTGGTAGTTTGAACATTCTTTGGCATTGCCTTTCTTTGGGATTAGAATGAAAACTGACCTTTTCCAGTCCTGTGGCCACTGCTGAGTTTTCCAAATTTGCTGATCTATTGAGTGCAGCACTTTAACAGCATCATCTTTTAGGATTTGAAATAGCTCAACTGGAATTCCATCACTTCCACTACCTTTGCTCATAGTCATGGGCCAAGTTCCTAAGGCCCACCCACTTGACTTCACATTCTGGGATGTCTGGCTCTAGGTGAGAGATCACACCATCGTTGTTATCTGGGTATATAATCATTAGTATAGAGCTTAAGGAAAAACATACCCTTGACCAAGATGAGTTGTTTTGTTGTGTAATCATTAGCTCTGGGCTTAAAGTTATTGTTAAAGATTGTTGACACAATTACTTAAGAAAAAATGTCTTATGTGACTAAGGCAAAGCGATGTAGAAAAAACACTTGTCCCTTTCTCCCCTTCGAGAGCCCCAGACCCCTTTCTCCTCCTTGGGGACTCTGGATTTCTTATCAACCTACCTCAGAATTCACTCTCTCAGTAGCTCCGAGGCATGTAGGATCTTAGTTCCCCAAGGAGGGCTCAAACCCAAATCCTCTGCATTTCAAGGCAGATTCTTAACCGCTGGGCTGCCAGGGAAGTCCAATTGAAAGGTTATCCTTCTGCAGTGACCCAGGGCTGCTCCATGCCTCTGCCTCTGTGAACTGGACTTAGCCAATACCATCGCCGTCTCCATGACTCATTAGCAGGGTTGAACATTTTGTCTTTTCTCTGCCCTCCAAAGTGCAAGGACTTTTGCCCCTAAGCAGATCTGGCAGCAGTCTGATCGTGACTGTGAGGGAGGTGGAGAGGTTGGGAGCAGTATATGTTCACTCTGCCTCCTCCTGGCTTCCGGTTTCCTCATCTACCAAGAGACGGGACTGACCAGCTGACCTGTAAAGGCTCCCCAAGCCTCTAGCTAAGATACTCAGCCGTCTGCTTTTAAAGGAGATTCCAAGCAATAAGCTGTTGTCACTGACTTCTGCTCCTCACACCTTCCCTGCGTGTATGTTTTTGTGAAAGTGTGTGTGTGTGTGTGTGTGTGTGTGTCTGCGTATGACTGTGCGTCTATGTGTGGCTGTGTGCATCTGTGTGGCAGTGAACGTATGCATACGTGTGTGTGGACATCCGCACAGCGTTGAAGCTGCCTAAACCCAAGTGACTGGAAAGAGGGAAAGGTGACCAATTCACCTGTGCCGTAGGCGGTGCCAGAGGAGGCCTGTGCATTTGCCTACGGGTCTGCCCGCTGCCCGGGTGCTGCCCTCCCACCAGAGAGCAGACCCTGGAGGCCGCTCTTCGGACGGGGCGGGGCTGAACGCGCGGGGCGGAGCGATGGGCGGGGCGGGGATCGCGAGGCCGCGGGGGCGGGGCGCTGGGTCGCGGAGGGCGGGGTGATGGGCGGGGCCGCGGAGAGCGGGGCGGCGGCGGCGGCGGCGGCTGCGGCGGCGGCGGCGGAGGCGGCTCCGGGCATGCTCGGCCGTGGAGGCTGCGAGCGGGGAGGGTCGCGCTGGTCCCCGGCCGGCCGGAGCGGCGGCGGCGGCGCAGGGCAGCATGAGGGAGCCGCTCGGTAAGTCCCAGCGCCTGTCGCCCCTTCTGACCCTTCTTCCATCTGGTCGGCGCCGTGGGCGCCCCGTGGGCCTCGCCCCAGCCTCCCGCGCTCGCCCCCCAACTTCTCCAGCCCGGACGTGGGTCGGGTCGGAGCCCTCCCCAGCGCGGGGAGGGGGATGTCCGCACCCCGTCCGGAGCCCCCGGCGCTGCGTCCAGCCTCGCAGCCTCGGGCGGGGGGCGCCTCTCTGCTGGGGTTGCGGGGGACGAGTCCCCGCCCTCAGGTGCCCAGCCCTGGACTCGCGCTAACCTGTCGGCGTCGAGGGCCGCGGCGGGCGTTGGCGCTCGCCTAGCCCCTCCGCCCTGGGTGGGGGCGGCGCGGGGTCGGGAGGCGGGGGTCGCTGCCCAGCTCCCGGCATCCCAGCCACCGCCTGGGTCCAGCCCACCCCCTTCTTCGCCTGCGCCCTCCGACTTCGCGGGCATCTCCACCGCGGGGAACTGACAGCCGCTGCAAGGGGTCTCCGGGGTCCCTAGTTCCCACTGGCGCCCCTCCTGCCCGTCCCCACCCGCGGCTGCTGGGACCTGCCCGCGGGACGTTGGGAGCCGGCGGCCGCACCCCCGCCCCGCCCCGCCCCGTCTCCGCCCGCCCGCGCGCCCACCGCCCGGGGGTCAGGGCCGGGATTAGGGTGCTAATCGCCGCTGCCTCCCAGCCGTGCGCGCGGCGGCCCGGCCCTCCCCCAGGCGGCTGCCGCTGAAGCCAAAGAGAGAAAAAGGAAAACAGGGTGGGAGAAAGGAAAGAGCCCCGCCTGAGAGCGCTGTAAATCCGTTAATCAGCCCACTTCTGGGATCCGGAGCCCGCCCGCCGGTCCTATGTCTCCGCGCGCACCCTGCGTGCCCACACCCCCAGTCGCCGTCAGTTCACCCCGAAAACCAGGGATTTCCTAGAAGACCCGACCGCAATGACCTCAGCATGTACAGCTGAGAGCGCCGCTTTGGCCCCCTGTCACTGGCGCCCCGGATTCTTCTAGGGGTTTGAAAAAGAAGCTATGGTTCCACTACTGAAGAAAAAAATGAAAAAAACAAAAAAAAACGGGAACTTCACACCAGCGCCACCTGGTTACGCCCTAGCCGTTGCTCATCCGCACTCTCTAGGAGCGAGGACTTTGGAGAATTAGGAGGCAGGTCCCCACCCTCACCCACACACACGCACACCCTGCCTCCCAGTCTCCCATCCCCTGCGTCCCCACCCCACCCCCATCAGCATCTCCCTCCCCAGATCTGGTCGCCTGGCCTGTCTTGGGGAGAGGGTGGAGCGGTGAGGACCACACAACTAGGAGGTTTTCTCCCTTCCTTGGCTTTTTTGTCTTTTCAGATTTGCAAGTAGAGACGGGGGGCGGGGGGCGGGGAGGGGAGTTGTTGAGTGGAGGGTTGGAAGATGGGAGGGGGAGTGGAACGGGATTCAGGCAGCCAGAAATGCGTGGACAAAAATTGCAGACTCAGTAGTTTGAGTGGGCAAAACTTCAGGGAAGTGTCGTCCTAGGTCAGGTAGTTTTAGAATTTAAGATAACTGGACTAAGACCATCCAGCAAGGCAGAGGCGAGTGTAAAGTTTTTTTGGAAGTTTCACGCAGATTCTATTTTGGGGAACCTGTGTTGGCTTTGATGTGACCTGGGAAGTGTGGTAAATTCGTTTGGTTTTCCATAATGTTCTGTGGGTTTGGACTTTATGTTTACCTTAATATTAGGTGTCTAATTCTTGGCCACCAGCTCAACAAGCCTCCTGAAGGGCTCCAAGTGTTACTCAAGGCAGGCAGCTTATAGAAAACGATTTCCCTCCCACTGGAGGGGTGAGCAAATATTTGTTGAACAGAGGCCTTCATCTACTGGGCCTTCCTCCCACCAAACTTCACCCTCTGCTGCAGAGATCGGAAGGTCAGGCCCTTGGCAGGCCCAAGAGATTTAGGGGGATTGGGTGGGTGGAGGAAGCCTGTGCCAAAAAGAAAAAAATTTCTGTCTTTCCATCTCCTTGGAACATAACTTAAAATGCCCGGGTGTCCACATGCTCTGGAGGTCTTGACAGCTAATCACAGTTATCTAATAAGGCATCGGAGTAAGTCACAGATTCTAGAAACATTTGGCTGTAAAATTTTAGCTATAAAAGGTAACTGGAGATTGGAGGTACACAGGAGAATAAATAAGGACGTTTTTCTTTTTTTTTTTTTTTAAATTTATTTATTTATTTATTTATTTTATCACAACCATAGTGTATCTTTTTAAGGACGTTTTTCAATTTAAAAAAATTTCTTTGAAAAGATGCTTGGAGTCTTTTTTTAATGCGGTTTAAAAATAAATCCTAGAAATGGCTATCAGCAAAGAAAACCCAAGGGGTCTGCGCCCCCGCCAAGTCCTCATTGTCCTCGCTGCAGAGTCCTCGAGTTTGCAGGACAGTAAACACCATGGGGCAGTAGGAGCCCAGAGTTTCTCTAATAATGAGCTTGGCGGGACTTCACGCTAATTGATCTAAAGAGAGTTTAGAACACAGAGTGTGGGATTAAGATGGTTGTTCTGTTGTGGTTTTTCTTTCCAGAGGCAAAGACCATGTCTCTGAAATCCTCCAGAGATGGGATCGCTGAACCCATCACTGCAGTTCATTTGGTTTTTCAGCAGATGTTGTTTTTCACCTTTTGGATGGCAAGGGTTATCTCATTCACTGAAACTTTGCTATTGGTCTTTGCTGTGAGGGCTGGCCGACTTCAGGAATGCTGAGGGGCACTCAGTTGATAAAGCCAGCAGGCTGAGGACAGTCTCCAGTGCTTTGATACAGCCTTTAAACCTTTCATGTCATTGAATACAGGAACCGCCCTGATGCTAAAACCTCAATTACCTTGATTTGAATTTGCGGTATCTTGTTTAAAATTTGACTTTTTACCTTAACTTTCTTTGACCATATATATTTCCCAGAAACTGTCTATAGATAATATAGTTGAGAACAGCCTGACCCAAACGACAAAACCTTATTATCAGACCAGTAAATAAATAGCTTTGTGGTTTGTTGCTTTCTGGTTATCTCTCTGGAGTTGCTTATTGAGCTTGCTTTTTTTCTGTATGGAAATGTAAGAATTTAGATACTATTATGAAGACACCAAGATAAATATTTCAAAGCGGGGTGAGGGGGGAGAAGGGAGTGAGAGAAAGCAACCATACATAGGATGACTAGTTGGAGAAATAGAAACCAGATGGTTATCTCTTGACACAGTGGAGTTTGAGGGAACTTTTACTTTCTAGTTAAACACTGAATTTTTCAGTGTTTACTTCTGGAATAATGTTATAGAAAATGAATAATGTAAGAATTATATGAGTTCATTTAAACTTTGACATTTTGATAAAACCTTGGCTGTTTTATTGCGAAGCTATTTAAAAGCAAAACTAGTGTATTGTAAGTTTAAGAGATTATTTTAAGAATCTTTATTGTGGAATTTGATGTCTGTGATCATAGTGGAATTTAATTCTAACCTATTGTAAGTTTTACAGTTGTTTTTGCAGATAGTCAGCAATTCCAGAAGATTTAGAAAATGTTACCCAATTTCAGTCCTCTTTTCTTAATGACTGCTAATCTTTCAGAAATGTTAATGAGATACTTAGAGTCTCTTAAAAATGGTTGAGGTCTCCAGAGCAGTAATTGTGTGATAGAATTTAGAGGTGAAAGAAGACAGGAGAGCGTGTGTGTGAGTGTATATGTGTAAAGTATGTGTGTGTGTTCATACAGGTGGTAGGGGAAGAGACAAAGAAGTTTAAAAAGGTAATATTTACCAAAAAAAAAAAAAATGAAGTCCGTAATGTTTGGCACTGTACTTTCTTCTCTTTCTGAATTAGTGCCTTAATACCAACCCAACCCAGCAAGGTTAGCTTTCCAGGAAACTTTTGATTTTAGACCCAAGATTTCCATCTCTTTTGTTTCATTTTTTTGTTTGTTTTGTTTTTGCCACCTTAAAGAAACTTTACTCTGAGATGGCTGCCCCACTAAAACCACAACTTCACAGATTCAATATGCTTTTTATGTCTTAGGAGATTGTGACCACCTGAGGGCCCTGGCAGAGGTGGGTCATCCCTCTGTGGTGTGGTGACAGTGTGTGAGAACTTACTGTCCCAGAACTTAAACTCTTGAGCTCTTTATTTAATTATTAAGACTGGAAAGGGAAATGGCAATCCAATTGCTCATAATAAGATCCATGACTCTGCCATCCAAGAAAACAAAGGAAGCTGTAGAGAGTATTAAAAATCCGTGCATCAGTTAGCAGCCTGCCTCAGTCTGGTTTGTTTTGTATCTTGGCTATTTACCTCTTATTTAAAGAACGTTCTTTGTTGTATGTTAATCACAACATTAGATGGAAAAATTGTCAGTTGAAGAAATATTTATAGTCAACTGCCAACAATTTGAGGGACTAATTACATCTTAAGGGTGGAATGTCAGTGAATACAAGAGAGGAGCCTTAGGTTTTCTAGTACCAATGTCTCATCAGGACTTTTAGAATGCTACTTGGAATCTTGTATTCAGTTTTATCAGCAGATTGGGATTTTAAGCCTGCCAGATTCAGATTAAGTATCTCTTGGTAGCAGATAAGACATAAATACCATATCCTAAACTCTTCAAACTTTATGTAATTTACTTTTCATTTATTCTTCTCTTCTGTGTCTCTCTTATTCTCATTGAGTCTTGAAATATGCAATATGTTTTTGAAGATATTTTCTCCTAATCTTTCCTATATGTAACTTTTTGTTATTTTTTTCCCCTGATGATGAAATAGTAAGTATAAGAAAATGCCACTACTTGACCATTTTTTACCTGTAAAATGGCAGCTTCATATGGTTTGATCTAATATATTTCATGATCAAATATCATAAATACAGGAAAGTATAAATAAGGGCATTTTTTTAAAGCTTAGAATCCAGTACCACTGTTGCTATTTTGGTATGTTTCCTCTTGGTGTTTCTCCCCATACTGTATTTGTATGTATTTAGATGGAATTCGTATTATATACACTGAATCTAGGCTTTTGTATCCTGTCTTTATTATTTAACATGGTGCCATGAGCATTTTCTCCCTGTACCATTCAATATCTAAAAACATCATTTTATACACGTGTGCATATTATAATCTTCCACATGGAGGTACCAGAATTCTTTAGCCATCCCATAAATGACTGTTTAATCTAGCTTTTTAAAAAATTAATATCATAATTAAAACTTGGGTAAGTATCCTTATATAAAACTTTGTATGTATCTCTGATTATTTCATTAGGGTGGATCCCAAGAAACAAGATTATTAATCTATAGGGTTTCAGATTTTTAAAGATTTTATAGCATTAATCATTTTTAAGAAAGGAAATAGTCGTTCACCTACAGACCTATTCCCACCTCCCGCCCCGCCCCCCCCACCAACCCTGCTCATAAACTCACGAATGGTAGAACCCTGACAGCTCATTC